CTAAAGGTGAGTGGGAACCGGTGTTTAAACCGTCATATTTTCGCCTTTCTAATCATCTTTTTAAAAATTATATATATTTAAAAAAAAATTAAAAAAAATAAAACATATATTTTAAATGAGTAATTTACTCCGCCCGAGCATATATGTATTGCTCCGCGGCCTCGGCTATGGTCACCTCCCTCACATCCGTCTTCCATAGCAACCATAGGCCGCCACTCTGGCCAATCACGTCGACACGAAACGAATTGTCGAACCCCAGCCCCTGACATATTCTTCTCGCCTTATCTCCCTCTGCATGGGTCTTGAACAAAGCCAGGACATCAGTCTTGAACTTCTTCATCAGATATCTACCTGGCGAAGTGTCATGTCAGGGATGCGTGAGGTTGTCATACCAAGTGTGAAATGGGTACTTGGAGATGGTTGCAGGATCCGCTTCTGGAAGGATAAATGGCTACTCAACACACCACTAGTAGACATGGCAGAGACAGAGGTTCCAACTCAGATGGAAGGTATAATGGTCCGAGAGTTTTGGAGAGACGGGATGGGATGGATGTTTCCTCAATTGTCAGGCTACTTGTCTCTTCGTGTTCGATTTCAGCTTGCAGCAGTGGTCCTGGACAATGTTATGGGAGCAAAGGATAGGATCAGTTGGGGACATAGTCAGAATGGTGAGTTCACAGTAAAGGCAGCATATGCTTTTCTCACGAGACATGACATATCAGGTTAATGTCTGAAAGCTCTGTTTGATCGTGTATGGTATGTGGTGGCTCTAGAAAGAATCAGAGTTTTTATCTGGACAGTAGCAAACCAGTTAATTATGACGAATGTGGAGAGACTAAGAAGACATCTAACGGATACGGGAGTATGTCAGGTCTGTAAAGGAGGAGATGATACCATTATACACATCTTGAGAGACTGCCCCACAATGGAAGGTATATGGAATAGAATTGTCCCAGTACGGAAACGTAGGCTCTTCTTTGAAAAGCCTCTGCTTGAGTGGTGCTTCGAGAATTTAGGGGATCACTCAGAGATCTTTGGTTGTCCGTGGTCAACGATCTTATCAGTTGCACTCTGGTGGAGCTGGAAATGGCGGTGTGGGAATGTATTTGGTACAAATGCTAAATGTCGAGACCGAGTAAGATTCATCAAGGATCTAGCTAAGGAAGCCTTCGAAGCTCTTCTAAAAGTTCGGGGGAATGCTCAGATGAGTGCCAAAGTGGAGCTCTTAGTTGCGTGGAAACCACCATTAATTGGTTGGACAAAACTTAATACGGATGGAGCATCTAGGGGTAACCCGGGACCTGCAACAGCTGGAGGAGTTTTAAGGAATGCAGAGGGAGATTGGTGCAGGGGATTTACACTGAATAATGGCATATGTTCTGCTCCATTGGCAGAATTGTGGGGAGATTACTATGGTTTGTTTATTGCTTGGGAAAATAGAGTCCCAAAACTAGAGATTGAAGTGGATTCGAAAGCAGTAGTGGATCTGCTAAACTCAGAGGTGAGCGATGTGCATCCTCTGTCATTTCTAGCACACTGTGCTACGGCTTTATCAGAAAGGACTGGGAAGTCCGAGTCTCGCACGTTTTCAGAGAAGCAAACAGACTAGCTGATGGATTAGCGAATCAAGCCTTCGCATAACCGATTGGTATCAGGATAATGGAGTCCCCTCCGGAAGAGCTTCAGACTGTAGTGACGGAAGATAGAGAGGGTTTTGAGGTAGTTCGAAATGTACGTTTGTAATAGTACTCTTAATTTTGAATAAAAGTAGAGACACCATCCCCATCTTCGTACAAAAAAAAATGAATAATTTACTTAGAAAAACTATTAAGATTAAATTGTTTATATAAACATATAAAATTGTTATTTAAAATTATTTATAATACCAAAAAAAATTCACTTTGAATTAACAAAAGAAAAAGTCATTTAAAATTTGAACTTTAGCTTAATTATTTAGAAAATCAACATAAAAATCTGAACTAACCAAAAAAGTTTATCTAACAAAAAATCAAACGTAAATTATTTTTTGCAATATGTCAATACAATTAAAATCAAAATTCATATCAAAAAAATTAAATTAACAAAAAAAAGAGGAGATAAACTTGATATCTATGCTAGTTTTTATTTAACAAAAATTAATATAAACAAAATAAGTAATAAAATAAAACAACTTAAGTAATACTAAAAAACTTTACTAGCAAAAAGAAGATAAATATTTAAGCTAATTATTTAAAAATTCAATATTAAGAAATTAATTAACAAAGAAAAATAAAACAAAAATTAAGTTTTACAAAATGTTAAATTTTGAAATATACACCTAAAACAAAATTGACTTGATATCTAACTAACTACTTTAGAAATTAATTAAAATATTTACCTAACAAAAAAACAAAAAATAAAGTTATGTCTTCAAAAATATTAATACTTTCAAAACAATTATGTGTTAAAATAAACTAGAAATCAATATCAAGAGAGTTAAATTACAAAAGGAAAAATTTGTATAAAGAAAACCTAGCTTGATATTTAGGCTAATATTTTGAAAAGTTAACATTAAAAAATAATTAAAAAAGAAAATCATGGTATAAGCTTTTGAGAGAGTTGTTGACAAAAAAAAAAGCTTTTGAGAGAAGTCCACGTATAATTTAGAATACTCAGTTATAGCATATCAAAATAGCATTATAATTAAAATAAAAATTAATGTAAAAATAAATTTAACAAAAAAAAAACATTTATGTAAAAAATATTGAATTGATATATGCTACCTATTTGGAAAATCAATAGCAAAAGAGATTAATTAAAAAATATATATATGTTTTAAATATAACAAACATGCACAAAATTAGTTAAATTAAAATAAAATATAAACTTACCATCGAAAGATATGTAAAATAACAACAACAAAAAAAAATCTAAGAAGAAAATAAGTTTGAAATTTAGTTCTAGAAAATTCATGATTTCTAAAATATTGGTATTGACTATGAATAATCATATAAAGTTACAGTAGGCTATACAAGTTTCTAAATCAAACATATTATTTAAATTTATAATGATTAATACCTTGGCTGCGTCTTGTTTAAAAACTAACAAAAAAATACTACACAAGTAATTTTACATTCGAAATATAACAACTAATTTATACATAGTTACTACTTATAACTTAGCCAACATAAACAGCACATGGGTAACATCTTCTAAACTTTTATTTAAATAACAAAGTATGACAAAGTTATGAATCAAACTCAAATTAGAATATATCTAGATAAACTATTCGAATCAAAACATGAATAAACCACACTACAGATAAAAATAATGATAATGTGAAGACTCCACACCATCTTACATGTTTAAAAACAAAAACTATCAAATAGTTGACTACAAGGAAAACAGATCTTATAAACTGAATAGAGATATAACTTAAAATTCATAGAAGATCCGGTAGAGAAGCAAGAAGCAGTTTTACATGATTACTGTAGCATCCTAACAAAAGTAAATCTGAATCAACATGAATCATATATTATATATACATAGATATACAACATCAGTGAGACATTTAATCAAAAACTAAATATTTGAACATATAAATCTAAAAAAGAAGAACTATAAAAATCATTAGGACACAAAATAAAACACCAAAAAATTAGTAAGGAAATAATTCTCTAAATCAAACGTATACACATCGAAGTTAGATAATTTCTTAGATGTTATTACTATGATTTTACTTAATAAGATTTATAATTTTATAATCAAAAAATAGGTATAACTATATATTATGTTTTAATTTTTTATATAAAAAAAACTTTATATATATATATATATATTATAGTTTTGATAATTCAAAAGATATTAACCAAAAAAAGAACTAAACCAAATCTATATTATTATTTGCAAAGTGAGAAATGCACCACAACTCTTCACAGAGAAGTTAGCGTCTTCTGCCCTTAGTGGTAATTTTTGGATTTTAAATCCACTGGTTTGGTTTGGTTTGATTTTCAATTGATATCTCAAACCCTAATAATATTACACTGATTTTGGGCCGTGGCCCACAAATCTAATTTAACAAAACCCTAATCTTCTAACATATATAAACTCTATATATACCACCAAATCTAGGTTTTTTATTTTACGTGATCATCAGCCATATTTCTAATATCTCTATCCCTATTCTTATGTTTATAAATTTGTTTGTTATTTTTAAATTTGATGTGTTCTTCATATTATGGTATATCTGTTTCGTTGTTTATTTATCTTTGATTTTTCTAATTTGGTATGAATCTTACTTACTCTGTGTTTTGATCTTTTTTAGGGAGATCTTGGAACGTCGACGACAAAAGGAGGATAAAAGAGTGACATAATGATGTTTTTGATATTATTGTTTAATTCTTTGACCTTTGTTTTTGTTTGTTATGAAGAAATTAAAGCAGAGATCTTTCTCTATTCTCAACGGAGAACTATTTTTTCTTTTTTTCTTTCTTAGATCGTGGAGAAAAATCTTCCAACGACAAAGTATTGCTTTGACTGTCAATTTGTCTCAGCCTATGTATTTCGTTTTACTCTTGCTTTTATAGATCTGGGTTCTTTCTTATCGTTTGTTGTTGTCTCTTTTTTTCTCTTCGTCACAATGTTACTTTTTCGGATTTTTGGTTTCGCGGTATCTTTTTAGCATTGATTTGTTTCTTATTTTTCTTTTTTCTTTTGTTCTTTTTGGATTCTTTGGCTTTGCGCTTTTTTTGACAAAATATTAGTTTGCTTCTTATTTTAGTTTTGTGGCTTTGTGTTTGGTATTTTGGAGGTTTGCTGCTGGATCAAGTAATAGATCATTCGGGTATGGATATATTCTGCATATGTTTTCGTCTTATGCTTAGCATAAGATCTCACTGAAGGTGATCTCCTTGCCGTTTTTGCACAGTTAGTTATTGCTATAGACCTGATTCAGTAGTGTTCTTGATTCTCTTTAGATATTGGATTTTTATAAGCTTTTGTATTTAATTGGATTTGTAGCTATGGTGAAGTTGTTGATGTCAATATCATCCGAGACAAGGCTTTTGGAAAATCCCAGGGTTTTGCGTTTCTTGCATATGAAGATTAAGATACCACTTTCGCTGTTGGTTAGTCAAAACTCTACTTTTAATGACTCTCTCTACGCACACTGGTTCTTAAGGTGTTGTGATTTGCTTACATTATCAGTTTCTACATTGCAGATAATCTGAATGAACCTAAGGCGTTGGGGCGGACCATTGCGGCAAACACATTTAGCAAAAAGACGAGGATGAAAAGACGCAAAGCAGAACATGGAGGCACGTGCTGTATGAAAATGTAAGTGGACAAAGCTCTTTGGATATATGATCGTTTTAAATTAAATTTATAGATTTTTGGTAATATCAGGTCTAACTCTTTCCACCTTTCTCCATCGATTTTCTGGGTCCATAGAGGCCCGATTCAGAGATGAAGGTAGTAGATGGATTTAATGGAGAATCGATCGGCTTTGGAACGTAGCCTGGAACCTGTCTCCTCTCACGCTGACGGTACTTCACTGATTCTTGCTTCGTGCAGTATTGATAACACCGTACGAATCTGGGAAGAGAGCTCTCTCGCTCATGGACCTGCAAGGTATATCTCTAGCTATTCCTTTTTGACATTAATAATTTTGTGGGGAACTGGGTTTGTTCCTATTCTCTAAGAGCTTAAGAACTAACAGAACAAGCCTTTTGTTTATACTAATTCCATCATTTGTTGCATCCTTCGGTTTTAGTTTCTCACCATAATGTTTTACTGGATTCTCAATGCGGAAGATGAGGTTACATATGGTATGTTTGTGTGGTAGGGGTTCATGAGGTTTTTCTGTTGTTTGTGGTTACATTATGTTTGTTTCAAACTTTGGTATGTTGAGTTTATGTTGCTTATGGGAGTTATATACGTTTCTGTGTGGTTTTTCAAAATCTCTTCTGCCTTTCGATAAAGGGTTAATTAATAATCAATTAATTGGAATAAAACAGGTTTTGGTTGATTTTTTAGTCTTTTTGTTTGTGACCGTGTTATTGTTTTGTTTACCATGTTCTCATTATAATATAGCTTTTCTGTTAATATGTGTAGTTGTAGGAGTAATAGGTTTTTGATTGGTTCTATATGTTCCTTGGTTTGTTTTAGGGTTTTGTTTGTACCTTTTTGGTGTTTCACTTGGTTGTTGGGAGTGTGGATTTTGTGCTTTTCTGTTACAGGTTTGGTGTTTGGTGATGGTTGTCGGGTATGCGCTAAAAAGAGGTGATAGTTCTGATATGGGTGTTTTTTTGGATGGTGTTATGATTTTACGCATGATGTGCGATGTCGTTTTGTATCTTGAGTGGATATAAAATATACGAAATCATAACGAGAGTCGTTTAAGCTGTATAAAATATTGATTGGTATTCTCTAAATCTAATTTGTAACCAACAAAAGAATTGAGTTTTTTTAAATTTTACCATATATATCTATGGTTTTCAGGAAAAGTTTTTGATTTTAGATATGGATAACGCCTTGATTGGAATTTTTATAATATACTCCCTCTATTTTACAAAGAGTATCATTCTAACATTTTTCACACAAATTAAAAAAACATGTAAATATATATTGTGCCCTTTATTAATACACTAAAACAATTTTTCTCTCTATTTAATAAGTTAAATCTCTCTAATTAATAAACTAAAATAAAAGAGATTTAATTGGAGGACGAATAAAGAATTTTCTGTTTTCTATTACTGAAATATGGAGATTCATATATTTCAATATATATATTTACACATATCTAGAGTGAAATGAGATATTTCTATATATATATATATATATATGTACATTGGTAAATCTAAATCGTATATTGATATATATATATATATAAAACTTTCATATTATAAATGGGATATATCTTGCATGTATATCATTTGATAAAAGAAATAATAAATTTTGACAATTAGCAATACCCTTACCCTAATTTATATTGACTAAAACTACCGTCTCCGATTCGACATATTTCTGTATGGTTCTTGAACTTTGTTTATATCTTCGTTCCAGTATTAAAGGACCTCTCTTTAACGTGCCATATGTCTTTAGTTCATAACATAAATACAGTTATTCAAGTATTATATATGTATATATATACTTACATTAATTTTATTTATTTTGTTTACAGAAATATTTTATTTTATTGGACCAAATATTAGTAATTATGACGATCTTTTCAGAAATAGATACATATATAGATATATAATATTTTTTATCTTAGTCCAATAGGCATTATTTATGTCTTTTCATTAATAGGTTCAATAAGAGTTCAAATTTTGAATTTGGGATGCATCGTTTCGATATCATCGTAAACCCTTATTCTTCAAACTCTATAAATAATACTTCATATAGGAATAAGATGTTATCACCTGAAACCTAATACTTTTTTACCCTGTCTTTAAAACCATCAATTTCAGAATTTTGTTAAAGATGGATCTTTTGTTTCACAATATCAAGGATCTCAATCAGTGGAGATCTAACTGGCACATTCGTGTCATGATTCTTAAGTGTTGGGAATCCCATACTCAAGGTGAAACCGAAGTGTTAAACTTCATATTCGTCGATGAAGAGGTATATTTTATTTCATTCTTTTTGATATCTTAGTTTACTTTGAGTAGTTTACTTTGATTATATGTTTGTCTAATTTACCGTTTATTAAAATTTGGTAGGGTGATAAAATCCATGCTATATGCGATGATCTCCGGAATCAGCCCTATTATAGAATGAAACTAATTATTGGAAAATGGTTTAAGTTACATCATTTTACGGTCTTTGAAAGTGAGATAGTTAATCGTTTAGTCGATTGTAAGTGGAAAATTCGTCTACTAGATAACACTGACGCGAGGAAAGAGTATGATGTAACTGACGAACACTACATGAAATTCACAAGTTTCGATGATGTTATCAATAGAAGATTTAATCATGATGTACCAGTTCATAAGTATTATTGTTTTTGTTTCTAAGTTAGATATATTTGTGTACTTAATGATGAGTTAACATATTAAGTGTTTTTATCTTATTTTCAGATGTCTTAGGTCGGGTATCTATGCTTACAGATATTGTCAAAGTAAAAGATGCTGACTTTGAGCCTTTGTGTCCTGCCAACACATAACAGCTCTCATTTGTTATCCTGAACACACATTACGTTTGGTTTAAAGTTAAATGAATATATATTGATGATATTATTCCGGTATTTATCCTGAAGCATCTAAAAGTACTCTATCTTTGTGAATATTTACATTTACTTATCACAGAGGGACAAATTTAAGCTGTGTTGCTCATGGAAAACTCGCACTTGAAATTACTAAAAAGTGGTGGAACTTCAACTCAAATAACATGGTTTGTGTCCTAGGTGATTTTCGTGTGGTCAATGTTGGAGGTGTGTTTATATATAAATTTTGATATCAATTTATATTTTTGTATCATTTTATTTAGCGATTAATACATGAACCTTTTATATAGAACATGTTCAACTGGTGGATGCTGGAGAAGTATCGAGGGTTTTGTATGATCCAGACATTTCCGAGGCTAGATGGTTCAAGCGTGCATTGTAAAATAAAGCTTAAACTGTGTTTGACCTTCATATTCATAACTCTCATAACCAACTGTTTATATTGTTTTTATTCTTTCAGGAATGGCAATGACAAAGACTCTGATTAAGATATTGTTTTATGTTTTTTAAAAATATTATGATGTGTTCAAATTTTAATTATGGATTTATGTTTTTGAAATAATTTTATATTTTCGGCGATGAGGACAATAATCTATTCAGTTTAAATTTTGCTATAGATTTAAATTTTTTATGTTTGAGCTAAAGGAATATAAATATTTTATATTAAGAGAAAACCTGTAAATAGTTTAGTCAGACAATCCCATAATCAGATACCTAAAAATAATGTACTTCTCTTAATCCGATTACACGATGATGAACAACAGATCCAAATAAAAAAAAATTATGTAACGGAATCAATGAAATGCTACCTCTTCCGTATATATGCATCATTTAAGGTTTCGATATCCGAAATTAAAAACTCAATCCTGGAAACTTTTAAGTGAAAGCACTCTCAATGTTTCCATATACGACATATAATAGAATGATTTTGTACCCAGTAACAATGACTCATATATAGAACTTACTTGGTTTTATCTGAATAGGATCTATCGAAGATCTAAGATTTTTTTTAGGTTTCCCAGTCACTTTAGACAGAGTATGCTTTGGAAACCAAAGAGTTAGAAAATTGTCTTAGTTTATCGCCTGTTTTGGGCCAACAGAGGAGTAATCACTGACCCAAAAATATGATACATATAAACGAGTATAATTTGTTTCGACCCAGCAATTTAAAAATCAATTTCTTTTGAGAAATGTATTATCATGTTATTAATTAGTTTGGTCGTATTATCCTTGGTGCATATTACTTTATAAGACCTCTTGCTTTGTATGAACATGCTTAAAGTTTATTTAAAGTTAGTAGTGACTAAATTATCGTTATAAAAAATTCATAGTCGTGATATAATATACTAATATCATTTCTATTTTAATAGTTTACAAAATAAACCAAATATTCTATAATAATAAGTTTTACTATTTACATCGGACACTAATGTTAAACTTCCTGAAATTCTTACTTCTTTTATAGAGTTTGATATATTATAGAAAATAACTAGATATTTTCCATATATTATGATACAGATATATATGAAATAAAAAATATAGATATTGTAATTTATAGTTATTACCAGTGAATATTTGGAATATTTAAGAAACCCTGATTCATATCTGCTATAAAAATGCATCATGGATTGATTGTTCTGCATGCATTCGAAATACTAGCTTTCATTGGTCTCACGAAATGGTTCTCTATCTGTATTTTTTCTCGGTGTTACGTACCTCGCAGGCATACATTTTCTGAATATGGTAATCGATTACTGATTTGTAACTTTAATTCTGATACTCACATGCTCTTATTATTGTCTCAACATAATTAAAATTATTTTTTTGTTAAGAATTGTTGCCGGAGGGGACTTGCCACTGTTCTAAGAATAAATATCGAGAATATAATACGATCTATCAGTTTATCCAAGGCAATGAAATATTTTTTACTGTATTATATTTCAAGTATATATAATACTTTTCTTAATGAAATATTTCTTACTGTATTATCTTTCGAGTATATATAATACTTTTGCATTAGTATCTTAAATGTAACTTTATTCTTTGATGGAAAATATAGTTACTGCTGGTGATGATGATTTCGACATGGATACATCCTCAGGGGGCTCATCCATAGATGATGTCAGTGATGATGATTATGATATGGATCAGGATTTTGATATGATGAAGATGTGGACGATGACGAAGATGACGATGATGATTTGGAAGGTCTTGATGAAGAGGTAGTTACTGATAGGTGTCCTGATGACTCTACTGACGAAAGTTCTGATAGCAATGGTTATACTTCAGATTCTGATATCAACGAAGATACTGATTATGAACCAGATGTCGATACAAAAAAAATAAACACTGTTCGTCTTGCTTGCCTTGTAACCCCTATCAAGTCTGAGGGTCGGTTTCTTGAATATAGTAAAATTCTTCCTGACCCTATTCGCGATGCACATGTTGAAAATGTTAGGCCTCGATCAGTTGTTTCCCTTTTACATCCTGGAACGTTTGAGCCTTCGATTTTTGTAAAGATATTGCGTGTCTGGACACATGCTACACATCCGAGCGGTAAAAATGGAGGTTATTCTGAGTGACGATAAGGTATTGTTCATAACTTCGTAATCTTTATGTTTTCGTTTTTATCATATTTATGCTAATAAATAGTTTTGATTTGTTGATAGGGTGTTTGGATACAAGGCACGGTACCCGCTCTGCACTATAAACATTTCTCTATACTCTTGAGGGAAGGCATGTGGGTTACTCTACAAAAATTCTGTGGTAGTAGATGAAATTGGGAAATATCATGCTACCACTCATCTTAGTAGAATATTTTTTCTAGACACAATGATTGTCGATGAACAACGACAATCTTTGTGTGCTAGGAATTTTTTTCATTTTGTTGATTTTCGTATGATTTTAGATCGAGTTCAGAATGACGATTACTTTGTTGGTAAGTTTATGTACATAAAATCTATTGTTTTTTTTTTTATTGCTTTGGTTATTAATTTGTAAAGTTTTGTTGCAGATATAATTGGTCGGGTTGTCAATGTTAAAGGATATAACATATGGGGTGGGCATGTACCTGATATGAATATCACTGGTGGAACTGTTACATTCGAGCTGGAAAATACAAAGTTAGCTATTACTATTGGTATTTGGTTATTTCTGTATAATTTTAAAACTCTTATTTGATT